CGTGAAATGTCAATTCGTCGCCGTTCTCCGCAATTGAGCATGTGTTACTCAACCACATGAAAAATTTTAGGTGTTGATTTGGGTTTGAAAGTCTATAAAATTCAACTTTTGCAAGAATTGAAGCCGAATGACCTACCACAACATCTTATTTTCGGTGAATGGGCCTTAGAACAGCCTAATGAAAATCCGCTGTTTTATCGAAAAATTGTGTTCAGGGACGAGGCTCATTTCTGGCTTAACGGATATGTAAATAAACAAAACTGTCGCATCTTGAGTGATGAACAGCCACATGCAATACAAGAATTACCGATGCATCCCGAAAAAACGACACTTTGGTGCGGTTTATGGGCTGGTGACATTATCGGTCCATTCTTATTCAAAGGCGACTGTGGAAGAAACGTTACCTTCAACGGCGAACGATATCGAGCCATGATACGCAACTTTTTTCACCCCAGTTGGCCGCGTTGAACTTGGTTGACATGTGGTTTCATCAAGACGGTGCCACATCCCACACAGCTCGTGAAACAATGGAGATGTTGAAGGTTAATTTGGTGAGCAGATTATCTCTCGAAATGGCCCTGTGAATTGGCTACCAAGATCATGTGATTTGACGCCTCTGGATTATTTCTTGTTGGGTTATGTGAAGTCGTTATGGTATGTGGACAAGTCGAACACGATTGAAGCCTTACAGGATAACACGCATAATTCGTGGGATACAGACCGAAATGCTCGAAAAAGTGACGCAAAATTACACCTTCCGAATGGACCATTCGATACGGAGCCGCGGACAACATTTACATGAAGTTCTCTTTAAAATGTAAATCGCAAAGGCCAAGTTATCAATTTCAATGAAAATTTTGAATATATGATGCAAATTGAGTGTTTTATTCGATTAAAAATAAACTACGCTTAAAAAATCACCCATTATGTCATTTCATGGTCTCGAGGTTAAAGGACTATTTTATCCCATTTTTTTTCAATACGTAAAGTGAAACATTTTCGGTCATTTTTAATTTGACGGTTAATCTCTCACGATACATCATGACAATATACGGTATTATTGATAATCGAACAGATTCGAGTTCACGAAAGTGTTACATTTTCATCGTCCGCGACTGACTGATCTGAGGTAGGCGTAAATACCACATTATATCTTCCAATATTTTCGGAAATATTCACAAAAAAATTTGGCTGTTGATAATTCGGCAGTATATCTTGTTAAATAGCTTGTTGGTTTGCACATCTGCAGAAAAAATCAGCAGATTGCTTTCTGTATTCATTTTATAACATTTAGGGATAATCCCAACCTAAAAATCCATTTTCTATTTGATTATTTCCAATGAATACAACTGTCATGTGAACACAACGAATATTCTATGCTTCACAATGTCAGAATTCTGTTCAAATTTGAAGTAATGTTTTCGAATAATATGTTCTCAAAGTATTAGATATCCGTCTTGAATGCGTTATTAAACAATCGTTTGTTCTAAAAATTCGTAGTGTTTTACATGTAACATTGTCCTCTCAACTATGCAGCACATCATGCCAAGTTCGTCAGAAGTCGATGTGTTCGAGCAGAAAGGATACCTCATTGGAAAACGAATCGGAAAAGGCACTTACGCTACAGTGCACCTCGCCGACTTCGTAGATGGCGGTACAGGCAAAAAATTCCGTTTGGCCTGCAAAATATTCGACAAAATGAAAGCTCCCAAGGATATCCTCCGTAAATTTTTCGTCAGGGAATTAGATATATTAACGAAAATAAAAAATCCGAACATCATACAAGCTCACAGTATCCTGCAAAGAGGCTCCAGAGTGTTTATATTCATGAAGTATGCGTCTAATGGGGATTTGCTTAATTATATTAAAGTTAATGGTACTATACCAGACACCCAAGCGAAGATTTGGTTCCAGCAGATTGCAAGTGGATTGTTGTATCTTCATGGCTTGAACATCGTGCACAGAAACCTAAAATGTGAAAATATTTTACTGTCGGAAAATACAATGCAAAAATCGCAGATTTCGGATTTGCAAGGTTTTGTACAAACGAAGAAGGGGATGTGGTACTTAGTCAGACGTACTGTGGCTCTACCGCTTACGCAGCGCCGGAAGTTATTAGTGGTATACCGTACAACCCCAAAATGTCTGACGTTTGGTCTCTTGGAGTTGTATTATATATAATGTTGAACGCGTCGATGCCGTTTGACGATTCGAATATGAGGAAACTCTTAAAGGACCAAATGAATAAGAACTGGACTTTCAGGTCGAGTGTAACGAACACTCTGTGTTCGAAAGCTAAGCATTTGATGAGGGCATTGCTAGAGCCAGATCCTATATTGAGGTTGAGTTTAGGCAAAGCGTTGAGGCACGATTGGTCTATTGGTGAATTGTCCAACAGTAAATTGTTTTAGCGTCTTGAAATATGATCGTTTTGTGCAATTGTAAATGTTTCTTAAATAAAGTGCCGTCCTTGAATAATTTTATGTAATTTGAAATTATTTGAAGGAAGTTCAAACCTAACCATACTTATTAAATATTCAAAACTCTCGTTGAATCAATAGACCGATTGTAAAAATGTATTTTGATGTGATGGGTAATTTTTTGAGCGTAGTTGTTTTTTAAATCGAATAAAACACTCAATTTGCATCATATATTCAAAATTTTTTTTAAATTGATAACTTGGCCTTTGACATTTACATTTTAAAGATAAATTCATGTGAATGTTCGCGGCTCCGTATCAAATGGTCCATTCAGAAGATCCAATTTTGCGTCATTTTTTGAGCGTTTAGGCCTGTATCCCACGAATTGAACGTGTTATGTTATCATGTATGGCTTCAATCGTGTTTGGCTTGTCCACATACAATAACAACTTTACATAACCCCACAAGAAATAATCCAGAGGTGTCAAATCGCATGATCTTGGTGGCCAATTCACAGGGCCATTTTGAGAGATAAGCTGCTCACCAAATTCATCCTTCAACATGTCCATTGTTTCACGAGCTGTGTGCATGTGGCACCGTCAAGTTCAACTCGGCTAACTGGGGCAAAAAAAGTTGCGTATCATGGCTGGATATCGTTCGCCGTTGACAATAACGTTTCTTCTACGGTCGTCTCTGAAGAAAAATGGACCGATGATGCCACCAGCCCATAAACCACACCAAACTGTCGTTTTTTCGAGATGCATCGGTAATTCTCGTATGGTATGTGGCTGTTCATCACTCCAGATGCGAAAGTTTTGTTTATTTACATATCCGTTGAGCCAGAAATGAGCCTATTGTCTGAACACAATTTTTCGATAAAACATTTCTAAGACCCATTAACCAGAAATTAGACGTTGCAGAAGTTGAATTTTATAGGTTTTCAAACTCAAATCAACCCGTAAAATTTTCCATGTGGTTGAGTAACACATGCCCAATTGCTGAGAACGGCGACGAATTGACATTTCACGATCCTCATTAACACTGTACGCTACGGCTGCAATATTCTTTTCAGTACGCACTGTACGCATGCGAGACAATGGTTTAATATCCAACAAAGTAAACTTGGTGCGAAATTTGGTGATAACAGCACGTTTTGTTGATTCACCAGGTCGATTATGACGACCATAATATGGTCGTAACAAACGATACACATTTTCCACAGAGCACGAGTTTTGAAAGTAATTTTCAACAGTTTACAATCGTTGCTCGTTTATAAATCTTTCCAGGATGAAATGGCAGAGTACACTTAAAACTTTTCATTTTGACATATGACGTTTGGATGCTATTACCAACCAGTGCCGCCAACCTGAAAAACTTAACTCTTAAAAAATTACCCGTTCCAAGCTCATAATACTTGGAGCGACTATCCGTTAGAGAAATGCGCACAAGAGCTTCTAAGTAATTTGTAACCTTGTATCCAACGAGTATAATGAGTATGGAACAATTAATTATGAACTATTCTCAACTATCAGTTACTTTCTACTGGCGACTACACGCGCTATACCGTATCATCGTGCTCGCGGGCAGAAGGGGGACAATAACAGGAAAATAGACCTGTACTGGTAATGGCAACATGTGTTTCTTTATTATCTGAGACCTCTGGTAAACAAGTCTGAGCTTAGTTGTCGGTCTTCATATTTTGCGCACTCAACTCCCTTTGGCGTCTGCTCTACATCAAGTGTTACTGGGACCTAAATTGATTTTCTGAATCATCATTTATTTCGGAAAAATATACTATTCCTGAGTATTGAAAAAAGATGCAATTGTATACATCGGTTATATAACAGGTTAATTGCTTCATTTTATTTATTTATATTTGTGGATGATGAATAAGTCTCATATATCAATCAGCCATTTCAACTTGCCGAAATCAACTGATAATCCAAACAAGAGGTATAATAAAGCGATAACGAATGGCTTATATCAAACTCGATATTGGTTCGATAATTCCACTAAAAATAAACCTTTCGTTCGAATTTCGAATGAATCTTGGATAACAGAAGGAAACTTGTAAATATTTTGGGAATAATGATTTCGAAAATAAACAGGAGTTCCCAATGAAGCAATCAAATAGATATATTCACACAGGCGCTCTGCTTTTCTTACTTTCTAATTAAAGTTTGGGATCGATCATCAAAGCTCTGAGATAAAAGGTATTAATATCAGATCTCACGTTTTACTGCTTCCTGTGGGTTAATATTCAGTTATGAACAAGCCAAATTTTATATAGATCAGTGTTACGTTGTATTAGTCAACCTGTTAACCCAATAACTCGCTACCTATTTTTTTTTAATTTAGGAATAATGTTTGTAGTTTTATTGAAATACCCTAACTTAGGTGTAACAAATATTGAAAAAAATATTTTTTCTTTATTTACAGAAAAAAAATGGTGATCTATAGATAGATCACTGGGCAGAAACAATTTTTAATATAATTGCAAATTTTGCTAATACTACTACTTCGCGATGCAATTCCGACTATATCTAATTACTCTTTTGTTCGCAAGCAACTACCGAGTAGACCTCGGTAGCTTAGTTAGTAGAGCAACAGGGCGTAAACCTGAGATACCTGGGTTCGTATCCCAGTCGAGGTTGAAAACTTTTGTGGTGTAATTTCGATTCCAAATTTAAATATTTCTTCATATACAAATAATATTCACTTCAATTTAATCTCATGTTCATTGACAAAAAAATTCAATAATACATCTGGGAGGATGGGAAGGTGTTTACTCACGTTCGTGCAGTTTGAAGACGACAACCCGTGCGTCGATGACTGGCTTGCGAACAAAAGAGTAATTAGATATAGTCGGAATTGCATCGCGAAGTAGTAGACCTCGGTAGCTTAGTTGGTAGAGCAACAGGGCGTAAACCTGAAAGACCTGGGTTCGTATCCAAGTCGAGGTTGAAAACTTTTGTGGTGTAATTTCGATTCCAAATTTAAATATTTCTTCATATACAATATGTTCCGTACGTGCATGGTTAGCGCGAATAATATTCACTTCTATATATATATATATATATATATATATATATATATATATATATATATATATATATATATATATTATTCATTCATATTACAGTTTCTACAGTTGGCTATAAGAAAGTGTTGCGGCAAAAATAGTTTTAATATTCATTCGAATGAAAGACTATATGAAAGAGTTGATTTCATGAAGTCCTTTCAATAAATAATGATTCGTAAACAGTAAATTCAAGAGGAATAGAATATCTCATCACGTTTGAATATAACTACTTCTATTATCGCAGTCGATTCTTTGATATGTGTTCATAATAAATATGATGCTTTCACACAGAAATCCATGAAATCCAATAATGACCCTACTCGCCAACTTGATTTAATTAATTAATGGATTTCCAAGCCAGTTTATTGTTATAATCAAAACCAATATAAATTAATCTGATAGTCTTAGCATGCCAGTAAAACGATCAAAGAACATCTAGGTAGCTACTGCTCTCTTAAGAGTTTGTGGATTTTTAATGCCTTATTAATTATTTACAGGGCCCTTGGGTGCGCTTCATAGCGGTCTTTCGTCTTGAAGTTTCGGCTGAGTAAAATAATTTGGGAATTGAAGCAGTAATGTTTAAGTGTTTTTGAACGAGATGATTCTTTACTTTAAGTAATGTGTTTTCATTTAGAAAACGAAAATTCAATAGTGCACATTTTCTGATAGGACTATTAATTGTTTATGAATAGTGGATTGATGAGGAAGATACGTGTTGAAATTCCATGTCAACTTTAATCATATTTTAATAATTTCAGAAATATTTTATATACGAGTATTGTACACTTCAATATTGTTTCGGTATACAATAACTTCATCAGATGAATGAAAACTGTGGTGGCGGAAGAGAAGATATTATAAACCAATTAAATATTTGTATCGACCAGAATTACGAGTATTTTAAATTTGATAACCGTTATAGGCAACAGGAAATCCCTTAAATCTTCTCATCAGCGGAAATGGTTATGGACAGCTTATAGAAAGTTCTATAATCACCCATTTCTACAATCACCCATTTTTCAATTTATGCATATTCTGGTAAACGTATGTAGATGACATACCATTATGTTTCAAAAGGACCGACAAGCAATTATTAAATTTCCAGAATTATATAAATACAAGCCTTTCGAATATTAAATTGAAAAGCGAAATTGAAAACAATAAATCGATAAACTTTCCAGACCTAACAATTTTACACCACGAAATTAAATTAGAATTAACGATAAACCATAAACCAACTCATACAGATATCGCGATACATAACACTTCGTTTCATATCCTTGGACACATTAATTGTCGGCGTACCATTATTTGATACACAGACTATTGAATATCCCATTAAATACGAAGAACCACAATAGAGATTTCTACATTAATTATAACATAGCGATTAACAACGGATAGTGCATAGAACTGGTTAATGATTAATAATAATAATAATAATATCTATTCAGCTGAGGCTCTAGAAGAAATACACTCATTTTGAACTGTCAATTTTGCATTGCATATCTATATCATTATTTAAAATATACTTTCTTAGATCACGCTGACATATTTTAATACTAGTACTAGTTTTCAATATACTTGGTAAAATATTGAAAGCCATAAATCCGTCATAGTATATGCTATTTTTAGATTTAGAGAGGTAACAACTTTGGATATAAAAACTATCAGTATTTCTAGTATTATACGCATGAACGTCACTGACATATGTTACATTTTTTATTACATTACATGGAAACAACTGATTGTTTATTTAAAATACGAATATATGTGAAGCGAAGGGTATTCTTTGTTTAACAGACAATAGTTCAACCTAATTTTAACAGGGGTATATCTATTGCACTTAAAAAATTAAATTAAAATTGTTCGCATGGCTCTATTCTGCAACTTTTATAATTGTTGAATTTTTTCTTTAGTGGAACCAAATAACAAAATGGAGCCATATTCGTGGTATTATTATTGATTTAAATCATTTCCTATTATTTCCGAAAAATTGATTTTTTCAGAGATTTTAGATGATATGAAATCAACATTATCATTGAAACTCAATTATTCGTCTAACATAATGCCTAAATATTTTACTGTTTCTACTCCTCTAATTTCTTGTTCATCAATCTTTATAGTGCTCTCTTTTATTGGTTTTACGTGTACCCGAAACTATGAAGTTAGATTTTGCACATTTAGAGATAAGTTATTGTCACTCAACCATTCATTAATTGCAGAAAGGTCTCTATTGATCCTCTCTGTCATATTCTTCATATCTTTGTGTCATATATATAGATCATAGTATCATCACCGAATAAACGTATAGAACATTTTTCATCCGAGAACAACAATGGACCTAAGACAGTTCGTTGAGGTACGCCTACATCCACTCTAGTGTTATCTGACAGCAGTGGTAGTATTGACAGGTTGCTAAAGTATCCACTTTCGTGATATCCTCAACAAACAAGAGAAATCACTCACATCGGAACTAATTTGCCCAGGAATTGAAAATAATAGCCGTTGTCAGGTTAAACATATTACGTACATTGAAAAATCCCCAAAACAGAGAAAAGCTCGTCACCTATAAAACAAACAATACATTAGGTAAGTTTACAAAAAACAACAAAGATAGATCTAGTAAGGGAACGAATTCGGATGTTTATAAGTTTACCCGTGAATGTGGGAAATGTTACATTGGACAGTCACACATATAAAACATTTGATACAAGAATAAGGGAACATCTAGGCAGCTAAAAAAATCATATTCTACAATTGCAAACCACTGTTTCACTGTTGGGAACAACCAGCATAATTTCAACAACAATTACAATTTCCTACACATTTTTTTGTGAGTATCTAGTAAGTTGACTTTGACCTGAAAAACTTAACTTTCTAAAATGTCTCAAAATTAATAGATACAAGAAAACCGGTTCAGCACTTAACACTCCTATTAAACCTTAGGTTCAGAAGGAATTTAAACTAAGTTAACTGTTGAGGTAACTATAACGCCAAGTTTTATAAACTAAGTTGTATAAATTAAGTTGTACAAACTGAGTTGTATAAACTGAGTTGTATAAACTAAGTTGTATGAACTAAGTTGTATAAACTAAGTTGTATAAGCTAAATTGTATAAACTAAGTTATTTGTTTCCTCAGTTTTCATCGACCTGAAGAAGGTATTTTATACCGAAACAATATTGTAATGGACAATATATGAAAATTTCTTTGAATTTTTGAAATGTGTTACATTTAAAAGTAAATTGTTTTCAAATATTAAGGAGGAAATGATGTTCTTCTGGAGTAATTGCAAAAAAATATATCAGTTTTTTGATGTCTTTTGAACCTTTAGGAAATACGATGACACTGAATTTTTTACGAAAACAACAGAATCGACATGTTGGCAAGTGAGAGAGAAAGGTGAAGTTCGAGCCATAAAGACTTCGTATAAAAAAAAATCAGATGGAAATTGCTATGAAATGATGGGTAAATCCCATTGACTTTCGCATGAACTCTTGACATTTGGAAATTTGATAAACCATTTGTGAAGGATGCAACTTCTATTATAGTAATACAATAAGAGAATATGCAGGTAAATACAAAAATACAGATTTAGAGTTTTCAGAAGTTTTCACTTGTTTTTCACCATCTGTAAGCTTAAACGTGACAACATTGTACTGAAAAAGTCATGACGTTTGAAGCATTTTTCCATATTTGTCTCACTGAACCTTACGAGCATAAAATTGAAAGTATAAGTTGATTCATTCGAAAAGTCGGGATAATTATCTTAATTGTAGTATGTAAATATAATACAGTTAGTCGAAATAAATTATTAGAATATATGCATGTTTGATTATTTTTCAGCATATCAAATATATTTGAGTTGATGTATCAATTGTCAATTTTGACTGCAGGTACTGCGACATTGTTTTTCATTGTATCAGTTGGCCCCCTCGTTCTCGAAAATCAACCTACTAGCAGCACATCTTAGCGACAAGAGGATAAGCACAAACATTGATTATGTTATCAACATAATCTATGTGTGAGCTTGTCTAATTAACATTTCATCTCCAAAATTGAACAATACAAACATAAATAAACAAATAATGTTTTTTCATTCCATATACAAGTTAGTTACAACTTGAATATAACTATGTTTCAACAGCTGCTTCTTTATGTATTGCAATCAAAAATAATATTCAATTTTATTTTGAATTTTTAGATTTTCATGAATTGTCATTCTGGGTACTTGAAAATAGTTTCAAAACACCTGATTTTCAACAATTATTCTATATAATCGAAAGTGAAACAAAACTTTGTAAATTTAGCACCGACATCGAATATTTCTTGATGTTGTTGTACTCAATCTAGGTTACACGATATTACATATAAACTTCACGTTTTAATTAAACTTTGCTTCGCATTTTCCGAGAGCCTATCCGTTATGCTCTATTAGAACAGAACAGAAAAAAGTAACAGTAAGTTTAATATTCACAACGTGTACCTAAAGGTCCATTACTCTCGCAATTTCTATTCGACGAGGGAGAGCTTTTGTGCGGTTAAATGTTAGAACAAAGAGTGAGAGTA